TCGCAGTCGACGAAGCGCGTCGAGTCCATGGTCCTCGGCTCCTTTCCCCAGGGTCTGCACGCCACGGGCGAGAACGACTACGAGCGGAGCGTGCGGCGCGCCTACGGCGACCCGGACCCGCCGGAGCAGGAATTGCAAATTCGCCTGCGGTCCATCAACCAGGTGCTGACGAGCCTGAAGACGGACGAGCTGCTCCTGGAGCTGCCGTCGAAGCGCCTGCTCATGAAATACGTGGAGCGCGCGCTGGGCCTGGACCACGCCTGCCTCGGGTCCGATAGCATCGAGAACCACCTCTTCGGCGGCGCGTTCGGCGCCCCGGAGCTCGACGTGTCGCGCGCGACGCTCGTCGCGTACCGGCCCACGTTCTCCCCGGCCTTCCCCGGCCTGGGCCTGCCGGACGTCGAGGAAGTCGTTCGCGGGCGGAAGATCGAGTTCTTCCCCAAGGACCTCGACGACCACTTCCGCATCGTCCACACGCAGGACGTCGTCGCGGAGGCGCTGCGCAAGTTCCTCTGCTCCGACTTCGAGAGCGGGCTCCTGAGCTCCTACGTGGTAGAGAAGCACGCGACGCACGACTCCTGGCTCCAGCGGCGCGCCGTCGAGGTCGCCGAGGCCGGCGCGGCGTCCGCGCGCGACCTCCTGGACCGCAAGGTCCGCGCCGCGCTCAGTGCCGCGCGACCGGGCACGACGCCCGCGATGCTCATCAACCCCACGGTCGACGAGCTCATGGAGGGCTACGACGGCGCGCTGGCGAAGCTCGACGCGGCAGCCAAGGAGGCGCGGTCGTCCATCGCCAAGCTCCAGAACAAGCTGCGGATCATGGACGTCACGCGGCGCGAGCTCGGGCGGCGCCGCGGCGACATGGCGCGGTGCCGGAGCCAGATCCTCGGCAACCCGCCGGGCGTCGTCGTCGCGCCCCGGGACCGCGAGGACTGGACGGAGCGCTACTTCGCGGCGCTCGCGGAGGCCGCCGGCGACTCGGCGCCGACGCGGCTCAGCGCGAACGTCGGCGGGCGACTGAAGCACGCGGACGCGCTCCGGCTCGAGGAGCTCGTCGCCGTCTGCGAGGGCTTCTTGGACGTGGCCCTGCGCGGGGCCACGACGATCCTCCATGAGATGCACCTGCCCCCGGCGGAGAAGACGATCAAGCCCTGCCACACCAAGGACGCGGACGGCCGCGCCGTCGAGGCGGGCCGCGGCGTCGACGGCGGTTTGGTGTACAAGTACGAGGCCTGGAACGTGCGCTTCGAGATCTGCGTCGACGACCACGGCATCTTCAACGGATCCGACGAGTACGCGGCCAAGGCCGGGGGCCACCACCGCAACGGCGCGCGCGAGTACCTGCGCCAGGCGCTCGAGTGCGAGAACGTCCGCGCGCCGCTGTCGTGCACCGTCGACTACCACGGCTTCCGCGTGCTCGCCGTCGCCAAGCTCGACCTCGTGCAGGTGACCTTTGGGGAGGGCGGCGAGGTGCGGCGCGAGCGCGAGGAGCTCGTCCACGGCACGGACGACCGCGGGTCGTCGCTGCACAACTCGAACCGGGCCATGGACCACATTTTGGCGGCCATGGCCGCGAAGCTCAACCTGGCCAAGCACGCGGTCAAGGGCTCCAAGGACCTCAACGCCAAGGAGATGTGGGCCTCGGTGGACCTGCGCGGCTTCCGCATGGCGGACCAGAAGACCTTCGGGCTGCTGAATTTGTGGCGCGCGTTCCCCTCGGAGTCGCCCGAGGAGACGAAGCACCTCGCCGCGGCGCCGCGGGGCCACTCCATCTTCTGGCGCATGCTCCGGCCCGAGTACGTCCGGTCGCTCCCGCTGCCCCTGTCGCCGGACGCGAACTGCGCCGTCACGTCGTCGACGGCCGACGGCGACGAGCACACGCGGCGCGCGCGCGAGGCCACGCGGACCCTGGTGACGGAGCGGCTCGCGGCGCTCGCGGAGCACCTCGCCGCGCGGGGGCCCCTGGGCCCCCAGCCCGCGGGGCCGCCCGTGAACGTCTTCGGGGACGTGGCCCAGGGCGACGACGCGCCGCTCATGGACGTGGGCTTCGGCGACGGCGACCAGAAACTCGGCGCCGCGCGGAACTGGGGCCTCGACGTCACGGCGGAGCTCCACCAGCGGGGCGTGAACCTGCGGCATTTAGGATTACTCCGCCAGCGCTTCTGGCGGCGGCTCACGGGCGGCGCGCGCTGCGACTTCGGGAGCAACGTGCTCCGCACGTCCGTGGACTTCCGGCTCGAGGTGGGCCGCGGCGCGCGGCTGCTCGTCGCGGGCCACGTCTTCCACGTCAGCAAGGAGGAGACGCGGCCCTTCACGCAGTACGAGTGCCCCGTCGACGAGACCTTCGAGGGCCTGAGCACGAACGACGTGCCCGTCTTCACCGGGGAAGTGCGCGACGCGCGGAACTCGTCCGCGGTGCGCGTCGCGATCCTCGTCGAGATGGTCGCGCGGTCCGCGAAGAACCTGCTGCGCTTCGCGCTGCGGCGGTCGGCGCAGCTCCACGGTAACTGCGTCGTCGCGTCCGTCGCGACGCCCTTCGCCGTGGACCTGCTGAACGCGATCACGGGCGCGCACGCGCGCGCGGACGCGACGTGGCGCGAGGAGTTGGTGCCCGGCGTGCTCCAGCGCTTCGGGGACGTGGCCGTCAACCCCGTCGAGTCCGTGACCGTGCGGTCGACGCTGCTCCCGACGCTGCCCTACCTCGTGCGTAGGGTGTGCGCGCTGGCGGGCGTCGAGGTGAGCCACCGGTCGCTCGCGGCGCTCGACGCGGCGCCCGAGGGCTTCGAGTTCACGCCGCAGGATCTGAGCGCGGGCGCGACGGACAACGCGGCGACGTCCCTCGGCGCGAACTCGGGCGCGTCCCCGGCCGTGCGGCCCATCGTCAAGCACGGCGTGCCCTTTCTGGACGTGGCGCGGGGCACGCTGCTGGCCGCGAGGGCCCGCGCGTCCAGAGGCGCGACGTTCGGGGCTCTGGTGCTGAGCCACCGGCCGCCGCTCTACCTGCCCCTGGACGAGCGGCCGGGTTCCCACCTCGCGAGGAACCGGGGCGACGCGGGCCACAGCCTCGACGGCTACTTCACGCAGGGCATCACGCCGGGCGTCGCCTTCGCTAGCGCGCACGACGCGTCCATGGACGACGTCCGCCGCGGCGAGGGCGCGCGGTGCTGCCGCTTCTCGCCGGAGGAGGGCGGCCACATCGTCTGCGCCTACGCGGCGCGCTGCGCGCCCCAGAAGCCGTCGGAGCACTTCACGATGGAGCTCTGGGCCCTCGTGGCGCCGGGCGGCGAGGGCACGGCGCGCGTCGCGGCGATGACGGGGAGAGGCGCTTTGTCCGTGCGGACGACGGACGACTGGTGCTTCACGCTGTTCTGCGGCGTCGCGGAGATCGTCGCCCACGGCCCGCCGGCGCGGATCGGCTCCTGGAACCACGTCTGCGGGAGCTACGACGGCACGATGATGCGGCTCCTCGTGAACGCGCGGCTCGTGGCCCAGGTCGAGGTCGGGGCAGGACAAGAGAGCGAAATTCCCAACTTCAAAGGCTCCTTTCTCGGCGGTTTTCCACTCGTTTCGGCTGATTTTTGGACGAGCGATCATCTCTCGGAACGGTCTCGAAGCGTGGATGCTTTTTCCGGAACGCGCGCGCGCGGAACACTCACGTTGAAGCGACGTTGAATCACCCTTGTGCTGCCCAGGTCGAGGTCGCGCCCGAAGTCGCGCGCTTCGACGCCGCGGCGTCCGCGGCGCGCCGGGAGACGCTGGACAAGATCGACGACCAGGAGAAGGAGGCGCGCGACATGTGCAAGGACGCCACGGAGAAGCAGGCGACGCAGTACATGCGGTCCAAGGAGGGCCTCCAGCGCATCAAGGCCGCGGCGATCAAGCTCGTCGAGCAGGCGGACTTCAAGGCCAAGATGGACAACAAGGCCAAGGAGCACGGCAAGGCTCGCCTGGGCAAGCAGGAGGCGCTCCAGCAGGCGCGGGCCAACTACCGCACGGAGCTCTACATGAGCAACGTGAAGAACATCGCCAACGAGTTCCGCCGGCTCCGCGACGACGTCGCGGACCGCGCGCGCAAGGAGCTCGACGCGGCCCTCGAGCGGTCGCGGCGGCCCGTCGTCGTCGGCGCGACGTGCCCGTCGGGCCGCGCGAGGTCCGGCCGCCACTTCTGGCACGGCTGCCTGAGCCACGTCGCCGTCTACGACGGCTACCTGTCGCCCGACGACGTCGCGCGCCACGCGCGCGCGGGCGCGACGGGCGGCAGTGCCCTGGGCGGCACGGCGGCGCGCGAGCGCGACGCGGCGCGGCTCTTCGCGCTGGCGGCGGAGCGCTTCGCCTGCGCCGTCGTCCACCAGCCCGACGACCCGCGGATCCGCGAGCACTACGCCTTGGTGCTCTGCGACCACCTCGACCTCGAGGACGCGGACCCGCGGAACCGGCCGCCGGGCGGCGGCGACGCGAGCCCCGTGCCCGGCCCGGCCCTGCGCCGCGCGGCGGCGTGCCTCGACCGCACGGTCGCGGCGCTCGAGGCCCACGGCTGCGCGGAGACGCTCTGCGAGCTCCTCCGGCGGCTCCCGGACGGCCCGCTCCACGCGCACCGCGCCGTCGACGTCTTCGATGCGCTCCTCCGCGTGGACCCGGCCTACTTCGCCAACCCGGAGGCGCACTACCCGCTCACGGAGCTCGCGCGCGTGCCGCCGCGCTTCGGCCTCGGCGCGCGCGACGCCGCGCCGCGGCTCCGGCGCGCCGCGGCGACGGTCTACCGCCTCGTGCTCGGCGAGCTGTCCCTCGCGGAGATCTACGGGGGCGTCGACCTGTCCTGGGCGCGGGACCTCGCGAGCGACGCGGCGCTGTGCGCGCTCGTGAAGCAGGCCGAGGACGACGAGGACGCGCGCGCGATCGAGCTCGGCAACCTCGGCGACGCCGACGGCATCTCGTCGGCGAATGGCCTGACGGACGCCGACGTGAAGCTCGTCTGCAACGCGCGGCGCCTGGCCGTGACGCTGGACCTGACCGCGTGCGCGGACGTCACGGACGACGCGCTCGAATTCGCGGCCAAGTCGTGCACGTCGCTCCAGTCGCTCACGCTGGACGGCTGCGCCAAGCTCACGGACGCGGCCCTCTTCGCCGTCGCGAAGAAGACGCCGAACGCGACGCTGCTGAGCCTCCAGGGCTGCGGCCGCGTGACGAACGGTGGCCTCGAGCCGCTCTGCGGGTCCTGCCGCCACCTCATGGCGCTGAACCTGTCCTACTGCGGCGGCGTGAACAACGCGACGCTGGGGCTCGTGGCGCGGTTCCTGCGGGATCTGGAGCTGTTCCACGTCGCGTTCTGCACGGACATCTCGGACTCGGGCGCCCGCCCGCGCGGAACTCTTCGAGCGGACTTCAATGGGAGAACGGATGGGACCAGACTCGTCGGCCGCGCTTCGGGAACTCGACGAGAGCACACGACTCGTCGAAAAATCAGCCGAATCGACGTCGATGTGACCGAGCGAGAGACCTTTGACGTTCGGCCGCGACGTCCCGGCGCACCGGTCGATTCGCGCGCAGGCGTCTACGCGTTCGCGACGAAGTGCTTCGTGCCCAAGCTCAAGTCGCTGGACCTGTCGTTCTGCAGCGCCGTGAGCGACGACGGCGTCGCGGCGGTGGCGGAGAAGTGCACGAACCTCGAGTACCTGAACGTCGCGGGCCTCCACCGCGTGACGGACTCGGCCGCGCGCCACGTGACGCACAACCTGTGGAAGCTGCGGACGCTGAACCTCGAGGACCTGCACCTCGTGACGGACGCCATCTTCCACTTCGACGCCGTGCGCGACGGCCGCATCGCGGCGTCGCAGAACATGCTGAGCCACCTCGCGGAGCTCCGCGCCGCGCGGAAATCGACGACTGGTTCCCCGCCAAACTTCAAAATTCTCGAGCTCGGTCACATCGAAGTCGATTCGGCTGATTTGGACGAATCGATATCGCTCTCATCGAGTTCTCGACGCACGGCAAAGGATCCCGCATCGAAACCGTCACACTCACGTTGAAGTCGGGTTGAAGATTTGATTTCCGCGCAGGCTCCACGTGTCCGAGTGCACGCGGCTCTCGGACCACGGCCTCGGCGGCCTGTCGACGCGGTGCCTCAAGCTGGCGAAGCTGTACTGCGCGGGCGTCGCGGGCATCACGGACGCGGGCGTCGGCTACCTGACGCGGGAGCCGTCGCTGGACCACGCGCGCGGCGACAAGCTGCGGGTCCTCGACCTGTCGCGGTGCTGCGCGGTGAGCGACGGGGCCGTCGACGCGCTCGCGCGGTCCTGCCCGACGCTCGAGGAGGTCAACGTGGGCTGCTGCCTGCTGCTGACGGACCGGGCGACGAAGACGCTCTGCGACCACTGCCCGTCGATCAAGAGCCTCGGCCTCGCGCGGTGCCGCCGCATGACGGACGCGTCCGCGTGCCTCGTCGCCGACGCGCTCTGGCTCGAGGCGCTGGACGTGTCCCACAACCCGCGGCTCACGGACGCGGCGACGGAGGTGCTGGCCGTGGAACTGATGGGGCTCACGGCGCTCGACCTCTCGGGCTGCGTCGGCCTCACGGACGCGGCGCTCGCCGTGCTGCGCTACCACGCGACGAACCTCGTGAAGCTCAACGTCGTCGACTGCATCGGCTTCTCGCACCACGCCCTCGACCTGCTGCAGCACGCGAACCAGCACCTGGAGCTGCTGCGGACCGTGGACGACGTCGACGACGCCGCGAAGCCCCAGTGGGTCCCCAACTCGGAGGAGCCGCCCCCGGCGCCGCGGTCCGGCGCGCCGCCCCCGCCGCCCGCGGCGTAAGATTAGGAGTCGCGCTCGCTGCGCCAGAAGGTAAGCGGCGCTGCAACGAGGGCTGCACGACGAGATCAACGTCCGACTCGGCCCAGTGCTGACGCAGAGGTGCACGATGGTCCGAGCGTCGTCGCTGCCATCGATGACGCGCCTGCTACTCGCGCTGCTCGCTGCGACGCACTGCGCACAAAGCCTCAAACCGCCCGCGCGCGCCGCCGCCGTCGCCGTCCAGAAGAAGCTCGGCCGCACTTGCCTGGAGGTCGGCCTCGCCGTCGCGTCCTGCGTGCCGGCGCTGCCGGCATCAGCCGCGCCGGCGGCAGCAGCCGTCGCGCCGACAGCCGTCGCGCCCGCAGCACCCGCGCCGAGCCGGAGCTACCTGCTGTTCACGGGCTTCCCGTTCCCGCTGGGCCCGTTCACGGAGCGGCGGACCGTCGGCACCGAGCTCGTCAGGGGCAAGGTCTACGGCTTCGAGCAGGAGATCCGGCTGTCAGGCATCTCGGCGAACGTGCGGTCCACGGTCTTCCGCACGAAGGACAACCACCTCGTCGTCTACAACCCCGTCGCGCCGACGGAGGAGTTCATCAGCGAGTTGAAAGCGCTGAACAGCGAAGGCGTGTCGCACGTGCTGCTCGGCGCGACGACGTACGAGCACAAGGTCTTCGTCGGCCCCTTCGCCAGGGCGTTCCCGGACGCCAAGGTCTGGGCCGTGCCGGACCAGTGGTCCTACCCCGTCGACGTCTCCAGCAGGGTCCTGGGCGTCGACACGCGGAGCGGCGGCTTCCTCACGGACACGGCCGCGGGCTCGCCGGCCTACGACCGGGCCCCGGACCTCACGGCCGAGTTCGAGGTCAAGCTGCTGCGCCCGACGCAGCGCCTGGGCCTCGGCTACGCGGCGTCGGAGGCCGCGGTCTACCACAAGGGCACGAAGACGTTGGCGTTGACGGACGCGTTGGTCAACGTCGCGCCGACGCCGACGCCGGCCTACGACGCGGCGAACCTGCGGGGCATCGGCGTCGACGGCGCGCGATCGAACTCCCTCGGGTCGCTCGTGCTCAGGGGCACGGGCGCCGTGAACTGGCAGGGCGGCGGCCGGAAGACCGTCGACGCGTTCTTCGCGTCGGAGACGCGCGCGCCGGCGGACGAGCTCCAGCGGGGCTGGGAGCGGAACGTGCTCCTGTCGCTCTTCTTCGGCCCGTCGCCGGAGTCGCTCGTGGACCCGGAGCCGGCGTTCCGGCGCCTCGAAAACAAGTGGATCGTCGCGCCCGTGACCGATTCCCTCGTCTACCGGTCGCGGAAGGTGCAGCCCGAGTTGAAGCGGTGGGTCGCGGACGTCGGCAAGTGGGACGTCAAATACATCAGCCCGAGCCACTTCCGCGCCGCGCCGGGCACGTCCAAGGACTGGACGTCGGCCTTCTCCGCGACGCTCGGCGCGTCGACCGAGAAGCCCTACTGCGAGCGGGACGCGTTCCTCCTCGAGGGCATCTCCGCGGCGCTGACGCGCGCCGGCGTGATCTAAGGCTGTTTCGGCCCTACTCGAGGGTCGTGGACTGGAGCCTTCGGCCTACTATTCGAGGGTCGTACGCGTGGACGAGTTTTAGGCCTACTCGAGGGTCGTGGACTGGAGCCAGGTGGGGATGCGCTTCTGGACGCCCCGGCGGCCCATCTTGCGCATGGCCTCGGACGCCATGTAGTCGCGGGCCGTCTCGTACTGCGCCTTGGCGGACACGGGCACGTAGGACTGGAACGTCTCGCTCGGCGTCGCGCCGATGGTCGCCTCGGGCGCGGGCACGCCGCCCGCCGCCGGCGGCGGCGCCGCGGCGGACGCGGGCACCGGGGCCTGGCCCGGCGGCGCGGGGATGCCGAGGAGCTGGCGCTGGAGCGCGCCCATCGGCGGCGGCCGCGGCGGCCCGCCGAGCGGCGCGGGCGGCGGCCGCGGCGCGGGGATCACGGGCGGCGGCGGCGCCCAGCCCGCGGCGTGCGGCCCCGGCGGCGGCGGCGCGAAGGCCGGCCGCGGCGGCGCCGCGTAGCCGTAGGCCGGGCCCTGGTAGCCGTGCATCATCCGCTGGCGCTTCGCGTCGCGCTCGCGCTCCTCCTTCCGGCGCAGCTGGTGGTTCTCGACGACGGCGGCGCAGGCGTCCTGGCCGGCCTGCCTCGCGAGCATGATGGGCGTCGCGCCGTCGCGCGTCGTCGCCGCCGCGTCCGCGCCGTAGAAGAGGAGCCACCGGACGACGGGCGGCCGCCCGCCGAGGCACGCGAGGTGGAGCGGCGTCGCGCCGCGCGCGTCCCCGGGGCCCACGGCGGCGCCCCGGCCGTGGAGCCACTTGACGGCCTCGAGCTGGCCCGCGAAGCACGCCGCGTGCATCGGCGCGCCGCCGGACCCGTCGGCGGCGTCGACGGCGAGGCCGCGGCCCGCGAGCCACTCGGCCACCTCCACGTGGCCGCCGAAGCAGGCCATGTGGAGCGGCGTGCCGCCGTTGGACGTCCGCACGTCGGGCAGGTGCAGGCCCCGGGCCGCGGCCTGGGCGGCCTTGAGGTCCCCGCGCTTGATGGCCTTGAGCAGGGCCTTCGTCGCGTCCGCGTCGGCGCCGTCGGGCGCGGGCGGCGCGTCCTTGGCCGTCGTCGCGCTTCCGGCGTCGCTCGCGGGCGTGTCCGCGGCCTTCGGCGCGGCGGCCGGGGCCGCGGCGGCCTCCCCGCTCGTCACTTTGGCGCCCTCCATCGGCGTCGTTGCAGCGTGTGTGAGGGGGCGGAGGCCGACGGTGCAGCCTCGGGCAATTCGAGTGGCTCGCAAGTTTTGCACAATAGCGTAGCCGTACGCCGTCCGCACAGCTCCAAAAAACGAGCCTCGAAGCAGTGCTAGCACCAGCGAAGCGCACCTCTCGAGGTCGTGCGATGGAAAGCCAGCGATCGAGCGAGGCGCACCGCGGCGAGTTGGTCGGCTTTCCCACGGACGACCTCGAGCGCAAATTGGAGGCGGCGTTGGCGACGCTGCGGGCGGCCAACGTGCCCATCGACGGGAAGCGCGTCGACCACGCGTGCTACCGCTCCGCCACGAAGGGCGAGTACTTCGCCGCGAAGCGCGCGGCCGAGGCCGGCGGCGCGACGCTGCTCGTCGAGTCCATGATCGGCGGGCGGCCCATCGCGACCTACGCGCTCGCGCGGCCGATCTCGACGCACGCCATCGCGCTGCTCGAGCTGCCGGCGCCCAAGCCCGGGCGGCCCTACGCGACGGGGTGGGAGCACGCGGAGATCGCGCTCGGCGACGACCTCGAGGCCGTCGCGGCGTCCCTGCGCGACCACGCGAGCCTCGACGTCGACTTCCGCGCCTGGCGCAAGGCCGTGAACCGGGACGTGTCCGTGGGCTGCCCCGGCGGCTTCGCCGTGAAGCTCCACGCCGCGCCGCTCGACGAGGTCGTCGCCATGGAGCTGCGCGAGGGGCTCGTAGAGCCCGTCCCCGCGGACTACTGGGATGCGCACTAGCACCTAGCGCCGCTTCTTCCCGCGCCGCGCGTGCCTCCGGGCGACGCGGCTCAGCGACACGTTGACGGAGAGTAGGGCGAGGAACATGATGAGGCCGCCGAGGAGCGCGCGCTCCTCGGCGATGAAGCCCTCGCGGAGCGGCGCGAGGCTGACGAGCCGCTGCCAGCTCAGGTTCTCGGCGAAGGAGAAGCCCTGGATGCGCTGCTTCATCTTCCGGTCGCGGAAGCGGGGCTCCCGCAGCTCCCGCTTCTCCTTGATCAACGCATCCTTCTGGTCGCGCGTCAGGTCCGGATGGTTTTCGATCTCGGCAACCAGCTCGCGGTCCTCGTCTTCCCGCGGCACGGGATGCAGCTGCAGCGGCATGGTCGAGGGCGGCGCGGCGCGGGCTGCCTGGACGAGGTGCAACGAGGGCAAGCAAAACTTCATGAAAATTGAGGCGGCGCCGCCACATGGCGCAGCCGTGCCTCGCGTCGCCCTAAGCAGTAGGTAGCACACCCACGCTCGCATCGGTCCCACCTCGTCGAAGCGCTCCGACGCGCGCGCCGCGATGGCCGCGGAGAAGAAGCCGCCGTCTCTCGCGAAGATCGCCCTCGCCGGCGGCTGGGCCGGGTCGATGGAAATTTTGGTGACCTACCCGCTCGAGTTCGCGAAGACGCACCTGCAGCTGCAGCACGGCGCGGCGGGGACGAAGAGCGGCTTCGACCGGGGCGTCGTCCACTGCCTCGCGAGCACCGTCGAGCGCCACGGCGTCCGCGGCGTCTACGCCGGCTGCACGTCGTGGTTCGTCTTCGCGGGCCCCCGGAGCGCGGTGCGCTTCGCGGCCTTCGAGCGCCTGTCGCGGGAGGCGCCGCGGACGAGTGGGTGGGACTTCCTCTGCGGCCTCGGCGCGGGCGTCTGCGAGGCCGCGCTCTGCCAGACGCCGAACCAGAGCATCCAGATCAAGCTCCAGCACGACGCGGCGCCGGCGGTCGCGGCGAAGCGCTACTCCCACCTGCCCTTCCTCCGGGCCTGCCGCGAGATCGCGCGGCAGCACGGGCCCCTCGCGTTCTACGACGGCGTCGTCCCCGCGATGGTCAAGGGCGCGCTCACGAACTCGATCCGCTTCGTCGGCTACCGCGGGCTCACGCGCGGCCTCGGCCTCGGCGGCGACGGGCCGGCGCCGACGCCGGCGCAGTCCATGCTCTGCGGCGGCGTCGCGGGCGCCGTCTCCGCCGTCGCGTCCCAGCCCGTGGACACGGTCAAGGCGAACATGATGGGCCTCGACCGCGGGCGCTACGCGTCGTCCCTCGCGTGCGCGAGGGCCATCGTCGAGGCCGACGGCGCCGCCGCGCTCTTCAACGGCCTCCGCCCCCGCGTCGTCCGCGTCTTCTTCGAGGTCGGGCTCCAGTTCGCGCTCTTCGAGCAGTGCACGAAGATCGTCGACGACCTGTGGTAAACTTTTACGCGCTCCTAGCGCCGCGGTCGCCGGCTTCCGATTCGCCGGCGCGCGCTACGAGAGGATCGACGCGCCGCGAGGCGGAGCACGCAGGCGCGCCTGCCGGCCCTCATTATCTCCTCATTGACCTTTGATTGCACCTGATCGACGGAGGTGATCAGTAGCTCAAGGCGCGCGCATCGTCTCCTCTGAGATGACGCGAGCTTCCGGATCTCGCACGGCTCCCCCAGCGACCGCCGCGTCCACAGCTACGAGCGAAGCCTCGTACGCAGTCGCCGCGGTCGTCCCTCCGCGCTCTCACCGCGAGAGCGCTCCCCGTTTCCATGGACATACTCCCAGCCGTGCTCCTCGAGCTCAACCCGCCGCCGCCGCGCTTCTCTACCGAGGCCGGCGGCGGCGTCCTTGGACATGCCTTGGACATATTCCCCATTTCCCTGGACATACTCCCCAGGTCCGCGCCAAGATTCCGCTCGGGCAAGCAAACCCGAGTAGGTCGACGTAAGACAATTACGCAGAGAGTCGGGGGAGCCGCGCGCGGTCGCGGCGCGCGATGCGCCGCGATGGCGGAATACGCGAACCTCGATCGATCGTCGTGGACCCGCCCCCGTTCCGCGTGAAGCCCAACCAATTCGATGAAACACTCGATGGCGACTATCACGATTGCATAGACCTTTGGACGGCGGGTCCACCGCCTCGACCGCCACTCGCCTGCGCCACCACTCCCCGATCCCCCGAACCCCGAGCATCGTAACAAATCCCTAAAACACAATTAGTCGCAGATTGGGACATGGAAAGCTGCCAAGCATCGCTCGGAGGTCAGGACTCCGGAGCTTCGTCGTCGCTGGAGTCTTCGGCCGCGCGTCGGCTCTCGTCCCTGACGGCCTCGTCCGCGGGCGTCGGGCCGCCCGGCGGCGCGATGAGGGCCTCGATCTCGCGCTCGAGCGCGTCGTAGTCGTACTGGAAGCCGGCCGTCGCGAGGCCCGCGGACGCGTAGAAATCGCGGATGCTCCGCGCGTGTCGCCAGAAGTGGCCGAGCGCCGTGAGGCCCTCGCCGTCCCGCGCCGCCCGGTCGGCGCCTCGCTCGACGAGCGCGCGGAGGAAGTCGAGCGGCGGCCGCCGGGGCGGCCCGCCCTTGCCGAGGATCGTCGCGGCGGCGACGGCCAGCGGCGCGACGCCGTTCGTCGGGTCGCGCGCGTCGACGAAGCCCGGCCCGCCGAGCTCGAGGATGAGGTCCAGGCACGTCGTGTTGTGGCACTGGGCCGCGACGTGCAGCGCGCGCGCGCCGGCGACCGTCGCGCCTCCGTCGTCGACGCGGCGGCGGATCTCCGCGGCGACGCTCGCGCGGCGCTCGTCGACCGCGGTCTCGACGGCGTCGAGCCGGCGGCGCTGGCCGAGGAGCTCCGCCTCCGTGTCGTCGCATCTCTTGAGCGCGGCGTCGAAGTTCGTCCCGATCGCGAGGATCGACGCGGCCCGCGCGCGGACGGCCGCGTCCTCCGAGTCGGCCTGGGCCCGGACCGCCTCCATCTGCCGCTTCAGGGTCTCGGCCTGCTCCCGCTGCATTCGAACCGCGCGGAATTGCTCGAACACCGACGCCTGCGCCGCCCGGAACTCGGCTTCGGACGCGCCGCCGTACGGCACGTAGCCGATGGACACGAACGCGTCCGAGAGGTACCGCTGCAGCGCCGCGTCGGCCGGCGACGGCTCCGCGGCCGCCGGCGGCGGCGCGACGGTCCGGAGCTCGGGCGCGGCGTCGCGGTCGAGCGGCGCGGCGCGCAGCGCGGACCGGGCGACGAAGAGGTAGGAGACGCCCGGCCTCGACAGCTCGTCGGCCTGCGCGAAGCCCAGGCGCAGGAAGGGCAGCGCGTCGCGCCGCCGGTAGCCGTCGCGGCGCTCGCGCTCCGCGCGCTCCTCCTCGGGCGAGCGGTCGTCCCGCCAGCTCGGCCGCCAGCTCGCCTCTCCGGCGCGAACGAAGGCCGCCGCCTCGGGGATGTAGACGCAGAACGTCCACCGGTCCGCGAGCGGCGGCGCCGCGAGGAGCCGCGCGAGCGCCTCGGCCGCGACGTCCGACGTCGGGTCGTTGGCCCAGGGGTCGTCGATGCGGAACGACGCCACGTAGCAGACGCCGCCGCCGCGGACCTCGGCGCCGAGCGCCTCGACGGCCGCGAGCCGCGGCGCGCGGCCGTCGCGCGAGAAGAAGGACGCGGCGACCTCCTGGAGCTCCTGCGACTCGGCGTCGCAGGCCGCGTGGAAGGACGCGCCGGCGAGGTCGCGGTCGACGAGCGTGAGCCGCGCGGCGCCGATCTTCGCGTCGCCGACGCGGATCGTCGCCGAGACGTTCACGACGCCGGGGTACTCGCCCCTCCAGCCCAGGCCCTCCACGAGGCCCTCGTCGGCGTCGGCGTCGGAGTCGACGTCGGCCCTGGGATCGTCGATGGACACGCCCACGGCATAGCTCAGGACGTTCGCCTGGACGTCCTTTGGCACGGGCAGCCCGGCGAGGAGCGCGCTCATAGCCCCGGGGCAGAGCGGCCAGCCGCGGCAGAAGAGATCGGCTGAGGCTGAATTTAGCGAGCGAAGGCAACATCTGTGCATTTTGCTTGCGGCAAAGCAATGGTTCCTCCCCGGGCCCCCTACGTTTAGAGACGCGTCAAGGCAAAAAGCAATGAACAAGCTCTTCGCGCGCGAGGCGGCGGGCTTCGCCATCGCCGCGAGCGTGGGCCTCGGCCTCGGCCTCGCCTACAAGGACTACGCAACAAAGAAATACGGCGGCGACGCCAAGGCCTTGCTCGCGGAGGCCAAAGCGCTGCGCGCGGCGCAGCAGCCCGCGGCCGCCGCCCTCAAGATGCGGGAATGCTTGGACCTCGTCGAGGCGAAAGGCGGCGCGCATCAGCGCCGCACGGAGCACACGGCGCAGCTCGCGCGCGCGCTCGCCGCGACGCTGGAAGAGGCCGCCGAGGACGCGACGCGCCCGCGGCGCGCGGCGTACCTCGCCGAGGCCGAGGCGGCCTGGACCAAGGCGCTCGAGGCCGCGCCGCCGCGCCACGCGCTGCGCGCCGTCGCGCTCGACCGCCTCGCGTCCTACGCGCAGTCGCGCGGCGACCACGCCGCCGCGAAGCCGCTCTACGCCCGGGCCGTCCAGGCGCTCGCGACGCCCGAGGAGATCAACGCGGGCGCGGACTCGTTGAAGGGCCACGCTCTCGACCTCGCCGCGATCATGGCCAATTTCGCCGGCTGCATCTACGAGGACGCGGGCGACGGCGCGGCGGCGCTGAAGGTCTTGGACCAGAGCACGAAGGTCTGCCGCGTCGTCGCGGACCCGGAGGCGCGCTGGGACTGCGAGGCCCGCGTCCGCGACCTCCGGGCGCACATCACCGCGCAGGGGCCGGGGCGACGATAACCGAGGTGTCTTACTTCCAGCGCGGGCGCACCCCTCCCGCTTGCTGCGGGGGCACTTCCAGACGCGCGGTCCGGGCGCCCCGCCGCCGCGGAGGCCGAAAGGAAGGTGCTAGCAGCATGTAAGTGCCACCGGCGGGTTATGTTAACACGCACTCCCGGAGCCGTGCTCCAAATTGAAGTCGTATTGAAGTTCGATTGCACAAGAGCGCGGCCGCGTAACTCTCGTGTGGCTGCTCGTGGGCTGCGTCGCACACGCGCACCTCGACGCGCATGGTGCGCTGCTGCTCGCCGAGCTGCTGGGTCGCCGTCGTCGCCGTTGGCGTCGGCCTCAACTTCCACTACGCCTTGCTCGGCGACTCGGCGATCCGCGGCGCCTTGGGCTCCGCCGCCTTGGTCACGGGCGGCAACGGCGTCTGGCGCCTGCTGACCGTGCGCAAGATGCGCGGCGAGGGCCTCGCCGTCGGCGGGTCGCGCACGGTGCGCATCCGCGCCGCGCTCGACGTCGACGTCTACGAGCCGCCGGCCGGCGCGGCGCTGAGGCCCGCGGCGCTCTACTTCCACGCGGGCGCGTACTCGACGGGGTTCCGGGAGTTCGCGGCGGGCACGCTCGGCTTCCTCGCGGCCGAGGGCGTCGTCGGCGTCGCCGTCGGCTACCGCCTGACGTCGGCCGCCGAGGGCGCGGGGCTCGCGGGCTGCCTCGACGACGCGCGGGCCGCGCTCGCGTGGGTGCGGACCAACGCGGCCGAGCTCGGCGTCGACCCGAAGCGAGTCGTCGCCATGGGCGACTCCGCCGGCGGCCACCTCGCGCTGCTGCTGGGCCTCGACGACGACCCGCCGCGGGCCGTCTTCGCCGGCTGGCCCGTGACGACGGTCGAGCCGAAATACTGGCTCACCCACTGCGAACGGGAGGGCCGCGCGGCGTGCGCGGCGTGGCGCGACACGCCGGCGGCGGACGACCTCAACGACCAGACGGAGGGCGCGAACGTCTTCCTCGGGCCGGGGCCGCACCGGGCGACGGAGGCGGCGACGCGCGAGCACCTGGCGAAGACCTTCGCCGGCGTATTCCTGCTCTTCGGGCGCCGCGCGGGGGGCTGGCTGCCGCCGGCCTACGACGACGACGTCGCCGTCGCGCTGTCGCCCCTCGCCGTCCTGCTGTCGCCGTCGCGGAGGCACGCCGTCGCGAAGCGGAAGCGCGGGCTCCCGCCGACGCTCGCGTTCCTCGGCGACAACGACACCGTCGTGCCGCCGGGGCAGCAGCGGCGCTACGCGGAGGCCTACCGCGCGGCCGGCGGCGACTTCGCCGTCGTCGAGTTCGCCGGCGGCGACCACGGCGACGGCGGCGTCAACGCCGCCGCGGGCCGCGACGCGCTCCGGTCGTTCCTGGCGGGCGCCGGCGTGCTGCCGCGGGCCGCGGCGACGGACGACGCGGGGCACCACGTCGACCGCGCGAAGCGCGCCATCGGCCTGAAGTCCCTCGAGTACCCCCGCGGCCGATTCGACTACGGCAAGCACAAGCGCGCGACCGTGCGCCTGGAGGAGGTCGCCGCTTCGATCGGCGCGACCTAATGCTATGATCGACAGGCGCACACTCGCACTCGACAGCTAGTGGAGGAGGTCGCCGCTTCGATTGGCACGACCTAATGGCACGATCAACAGGCGCACACTCGACGGCTAGAACGCTGCAACTTGCGAGCAGTGGTTCGACAAGTGGTTCAACCAGCACTTCAACCAGCAGTTCAACCAGCCCAGCAGCGACTTGCCGATGCGCAACACGCTCATGCTTGCGGTGGCGACGCTGGCCCGCGGCTTCGTGCGCGGGCCCGCGAGGCTCGCGGCGCGCCTGCACGCCGGACGCGCCGCGAGCCTGCACGCCGGCGCGTCCGACGTGCTCGGCGGCGAGTGGGCCGGCTGGCAGTGCGAGTTCGACGCGCTCACCGGCGAAGTGCGGCGCGTGCCCGACCACTACTGCTCCGAGACCATGCTCGAGTGGGACGCCGTGCCCAACGGCTTCGAGCTCCTGACGTCCGAGGCCTTCGGCGACGACACGCTCGCGCGCGACTTCCTCCGGCTCCTGCCCGAGGAGGGCTGCGCCGTCGACGACCTCTCCGGCGAGCGGTCGGCGAGCGCGCTGAGCACGGCGACGCTCCGCGGCGCCAACGGCGTCTTCACGCTCGACGGCGGCGACCGCGACGACGAGTGGCACCTGCGCACCTTCTTCCGGGCGCCGTCCGACGACGGCGCCGCGCGCCGCGTCCGCGTGAGCCTGCGGACGGACGCGGCCGGGTCCGGCCCCGCGCCGCGGAAGCCGCGCGTGCGCGTCGCCCTCGAGCGCCGCTGGTCCGAGGCCCCCGCGCTCCCGGAGCCGACGACGACCGTGGGCAACGCGCGCACGGGCATCGCGGCGTCGTGGCTCAGCGACAAGATGGCCAAGGCGCGGTGCTTCGGCGACGCGGCGGCGCCCGGCGCGGACGCGGAGGGCGTCGTCTGGCTCCCCGGGGCCGTCGGCGTGCGCTTCGCCGACAACATCGTCCGCGTCGTCTGCCGCGCGGGCGACACGGTCCTCGGCTGCGACCGCGTCTTCGGCTTCGACGGCGCGCCGGGGCCCGGGGACCCGCTCGTCTTCGAGGAGTTCGGGGAGGCCTGGGTGCCGCCGAAGGCCGCGTACTAACACGCCGCCTTACTGGGACGCGGAGACCATGGCCTTCCACTTCTTCACGAGCGCGCCGGCCATGGCCTTGACCTTGGCGGAGTCGTGCTTCCGGAGGCCGCCGACGACCTTGCCGATGCCCGTCTTCGAGAGGAGGTCCGTGCTCAGCGACTTGGCGTGGAGGTTGCGCAGGTGGCGGACGATGGTCGCCTCGTCGTCGGCCGCGACCGCGGCCCGGAGCCGCGCCGTCTCGTCGAGTAGGTCGGCCTCGCCCCACGCGAGCAGCGACCCGCCGGAGGGCCGGCCCCGCTTCGCCTCGCGGCTCTCGGCCTCGGCGCGGCGCCGCGACCCGAGCTCGTCGCGCTGGCGCTTCTTCTGGAGCTTGAGCTCCGCGCGCTTCGTGCTCTCGCGGAGCTTGCCGCTCAAATCCGTGTTCGCGAACTCCAGGGCCTCCTTGTTGAGCTCGGCGATCTCCTCGTACATGTCCGCGTCGTCGCCGTCGCCGCCGCCGTCGTCGTCGTCGTCGTCGGACTCGGGCCGCGCGACGGCGTACCGCTTCGTGCACTCGAGCGCGCCCGTATTCGGGTCGTACGACCCCCGGACCCGGAAGCTGCCGAACTCGTTGCGGCCCCGGCCGTCGACGGGGCGCGACGCCGCGCCCTCCCCGAAGTGGAGCGTCAGGATGGGCTCGGGCACCGCGCGCGTCGCCGCCGCGCCGCCGCCGTCGCTCGGCGGCGACCGGAGGTCGAAGGTCCCGGACAGGTCCAGCGACTTGAGCGACTCGGCGCGCTTGCTCGACTCCTTGCCCACGAGGGAAAAGTTCCCGTCGTCGCCGGCGTCGAGCGCCGCGCGGTTCGCGGCCCACTTGCCCCGCCAGACCCACGCGCCGTCGCCCCGCCGCTCGAGCGAGCCCCGCAGCCGCACGAGCGCGTCCGACTTCTTCTTCTTCCGCGGCGCGTCGACGGCGCCCGACGCGGGCTCCTCCTCCTCCTCGTCGTCGTCGTCGTCGTCGTCGTCGTCGTCGTCGTCGTCGCCGTCCGCGGCCTTGTCGCCGTCGAAGTCGTCGTCGTCGTCGTCGTCGTCGTCGAGCGGCGCCTGCAGGAGCGCGGACGTGCCGAGCTCGTCCAGGGGCTTGGCGTAGTCGCGCGTCGCCATGAGCTTCTTGTTCTCCGCGTTGTAGAGCGACCGGCTGAAGGTCCAGGCGCCGAACTTGTTCTTGCCCCGGCCGTCGACGTTCCACCAGCCGCCGGCGCCGCCGTCCTTCTTCTTGAAGCGCATCTTGACGGACGTCTCCTTCTCCTTGACCGACTCCTTGGCGCCGCCGGCCTTGACGACGTCCATGAAGAAGTGGCCGTTGAAGTCGAGCCACCTGCCGTCGACGAGGAGGCTCCCGGGGCCGCCGCTCCGGTCCGCGCCCTTCTTGCCCAGGCGCTTCGCGGACGTGAGCTTGAAGCGGCTCTTGTCGCCGGCGGCCCAGGCCTCCTTGCTGAAGGCCCAGTGGCCGCTCCAGACGAGCTTGCCGCCGTCGTCGAGGCCCGCCGTGCCGCGCAGGATCGACGAGACCACTTCCGGCTCGTCCGGCTCCGGCGCCGGAGCCGCGGGCGCCGGAGCCGCGGGCGCGGCCGCCGCGTCCTTCTCCGTGTAGTGCCGCATCATGGCGTCGATCATGGCGGCCTTGAAGGGTTTCAAGTTCACCTCCTCGGTGCTGAGGCGCGCCGCCAGGCGCGTGCGCATCTCGCCTTTCGTCGCCGCACCCGTGACGAGCCGCGCGCGGAACGCGTCGTCGCCGGCCGCCTCGGCGTCGACGGCGGCGCGCACGGACGCGTCCGTGAGCGAGAGGTCGCTCATGGCGCTGGGCGCGCGCGCGCGCGCGACGACACTTGTGCGCAAAGCTCTGCGGCGAGACTGCTCGATCCGCGGCATCCACGGCTTCAACATAGATGTTGACCGACGACGCACGTCTAAAAAGGGCGCCCGTGTCCCCCACAAGACACACGAGGAACACACGCGAGCCGTTACCGTTGCTGCCGCTTCTTCTTGCCGCGCGTCGGCGCGGCCGCGGCCGGCGGCGGCGGGAGCGTGTTCGCGAGGTGCTCGAAGATGGTGTCGACGGGGTTCGCGGCGAAGGCCGGGTGCGCGAGGACGGCGCCGAGCTGGCGCGCCTCCTGCTCCGCGAGGAGGCGCTTGCCCCTGTTCGTGCGGCCGTTCGTCGCGTTCTTCGCGGCCGCGGCCGCGGCCGGCGACTCGCGCGCGATGACGTCGAGGGCGCCGAGGAGGCCGTCGGCCTGGAAGCGGTCCGCCTGGGCCGCGGCCGCGGCGTCGGCCTCGCGCGTCGCGTGGAGCCGCAGGCAGAGGGCCGCGTTGCGGTCCTTGGAGGCGACCTTGCGCCGCTCGTTCTTCTTGCCGGAGCGCTTCGACATGGTGGACGTGACGGCCGGCGCGACCTTCTTCGTCGCCGGCGCCCTGCCGCCGCGCGCGGCGCGCTTCGACGCCTTGCCCATGGCTGCGGACGTCGAGGCTCTCACGCAGGCGATGAGATGGCTTCACCACGAGGGATGTTGCACTGCTCGCCATACTCGCCGGCGTCCGGCTTTGTACGGGGGCTGCCGCCGTTCGTTTGGCGTCACGGGCAGGAGGCCCGCGCCGTCGCCATGGACCCGGCGGAGGGCTTCGAGGACGGGGAGTGGGACGAGGAGGAGGAGGCCCAGTTCCGCGCGGCCATCGAGCTGAACCGCCAGCTGAAGATGAAGGCCGCCCAGCAGGAGGAGGTCGACCGCCAGGCCGCCGAGGCCGCCGCGGCCGCCGCGGCATTGCCCTACGACGACGACGACGACTACGAGCCGGCGGCCCAGCGCGCCTCCGTCCAGAAGCCCTTCAACCCGCGGGCGAGCAAGCAGCTCATGCAGCAGCGGCTCCACCAGCAGCGCATCGACCGCGAGAACGCGGTCCTCGTCCGCCACATGAACGACATCAACCGCGGCTCGAAGAAGAGCGGCTTCTCCCACAACGCGCGCTTCGAGACCCACGACCACGTCGCAGCGAGCGCCATCACGCGCAAGCGCCAGTCCAACAAGATCATCCGCGAGAACCGCGCGATGGCGCAGCGCCTCGAGGCCGTGGGCGACAGCGGCGGCATCCGCTCCTCGGGCTACGGCCGGAGCCGCCGCCAGGAGCCCCGGGGGCCGCTGGCGAAGCGCAACCTCGAGATCGCGAGGCGCGGCCGCGCGCCGCGGCTCCAGCAGCCGGAGATGAACTTCTGAGGGGCCGCGCCAAGTAACGAGCCCGCTCGCTTTCACGTGTCGCACCGAGGCGCCCCCGCCACTACTTCCGCGACTCGAAACTCGAAGATGGGTCGTCGTTAGAGGGGGGGGTCCGATGCCGCGCGCGGCGGCGCGGGACCGGCGAGGTGGTTTCGGGTCGCCGTCTAGATGATGCCGATGCGGTTGGCGACGTCGAGGGCGTCGTAGTCCTGGGTGAGGCGCACGTAGGCCTTCTTCTGGCCGTCGGGGCGGATGAGCGTGTTGACCTTGGCGCACGCGATCTCGTACATCTGCTTCACCGCGTCCTTGATCTGGCGCTTGTTCGCGAGGACGTCGACGATGAACACGAGCGTGTTGTTGTCCTCGATCTTCTTCATGGCCGACTCCGTCGTGAGCGGGTACTTGATCACGCGGTACCTGGGAGGGCGCGCGGCGTCGAGCGGCGCGGCGGGCGGGGGGAACGCGCGTCCGTCGCCTCCGCGGACCCGGGGCCGCGCTTGTCCATCTTGACGCGCGACGGCACGGACTTGCGCGCGTACTTGGGGTCCGAGGGCGGCTTGAAGGACTTGGGCTTGTAGAAGTGGACCTTCGTTCGTCGCTTGACGAGCTTCTTGCCGGTGCCGGCCTTGACGGCGGCGGCGGCCGCGGCAGCCTTAGCGGGGGCCATTCTTTTCTACCTGTGAGGCGGAAGCGGGTGAACCGGCAGCTAGGCGCAGCGGTAGCGGAAAAGTTTTCGTGCCCGCGCGTCGATTGCGGGGCGCTCTCTCTGTCGTCTTTGCGTCGGGCGACGTCGGGACCGCTTCGGAACCGCTTCGCGTCTAGTTTTCGCCGTCCGCCGTCGTCGCGTCGCGTCTCCCGTCTCTCTCGAGCGGAGCGGAGACGACGAAAGCGGCGGCCGACGCGGTCGCCCGTCGGCGGCCGCGCGCGCCCAGGCGGCCGGTCCCGTGGTGCCCCCCGCGGCGCGGCGGGTCTGCGGCGCGGCCGCGGCGTGCGCCGGGCCGTGCGCGCGTACCGCCGGCCCGGTTGGCGTCGCGTCGCGTCTCGAGTTGAGTCGGCGACGCGCACGGAGAGCGGAGCGCCGAGCAGCCGCCAGATTTCGTTGTCATCGCGTCCGCAGGGTGTTGGTAGGCGGGGGCGACGGCGCGCGCCACGCGGGGCGCGCGAAATGGCGAGTTCTAGGGCGCGGCGGCGCGCAGGTAAGGCGGCGAGACGATGCGCTCGCTGGAGGCGGAGCAGCAAAAGCGTCGCCGGCGATCGCCGCCGGGGGTCCGCCTGCGCCCTGTCGCACCTCCGGCCCCCACGTGTGCGCCTCAGGCGGTCTACAGCGCCATATTCGCGACGCAGTCCGATCCCACACCACCAGTTCCGAGCGCGGACGCGAGATCCGAGCCACTTCGATGTCGCACTGCGTGGACGGCGCGTAGACGCGAGCTCCGCGGCGCGGTACCGCCGCGGCCGCCGCGGCCGCGCGGTCCGCAACCTGGCGGCGAGGCCCGCGGCGGCGGCGACGACCGAGCCCCCGCGAGGCCTGCGGAGCACGACAGCTCCGTGGCCTCGCGTCGTGGCCGCGTGTGCGGCTGCGCGGCGCTCGCCGGGGTCGAGGTCGACCGCCGGCGCCCGAAGCGCCACTCGACGACGGCTCGAGCTCATCGGGCGACAGCCGAAGAAGCGCGCGTCGCAGCCGCCGCATAAACGCGCGCACAATACCATGGGCAAGCTCGACGTGCAGGTCATGCGCCACATGACCAAGGACGACTACCGCGTGCTCACGGCGGTGGAGATGGGCATGCGCAACCACCACGCGGTGCCCGTGCCGCTCATCGTGTCCATCGCGGGCCTGCGCCACGGCGGCGCGGCCAAGTTCCTCAACACGCTGCTGCGCTTCAAGCTCGTCTACCACGACTGCGCCAAGTACGACGGCTACCGGCTCACGTGGATGGGCTACGACGTGCTCGCGCTGAACGTCTTCTGCCGGCGCGGCTCCGTGGACTCCGTGGGCCGGAAGATCGGCGAGGGCAAGGAGTCGGACGTCTTCGAGGGCTACCGGCATGCCGACGGCCGCCGCGTCGTCATCAAGCTCCACCGCCTCGGGAAGACGTCGTTCAAGCGCGTCAAGGACACGCGCGACTACCTCGAGGGCCGGTCGTCGGCGGGCAACTGGCTCAACATGAGCCGCCTCGCCGCGAAGCGCGAGTGGGACTTCCTGAACTGCCTCCACGACGACGGCGCCTTCCGCGTGCCCGAGCCCCTGGACCAGAACCGCCACGGCGTCGTCATGTCCTTGGCGCCGGGGCTGCCGCTGTACCAGCTCGGCGCCGAGGGCTGCCTCGCGGACCCGGCGACGGTGCTCGACGACTGCGTGAACGTGAGCCGCCTGCTCGCGCGGCGCGGCCTCATCCACTGCGACCTCAACGAGTTCAACCTGATCGTCGACTCGCCGACGTCGACGGTGACGCTCATCGACTTCCCGCAGATGATCTCGACGAAGCACCCGAACGCGCACTTCTACTTCGAGCGCGACCTCAAGGGGCTCGTCAAGTTCTTCACGATGAAGCTCAAGTACGAGATCTCGCCCGAGGACGTCGCGGACATCCTGTCGCTCGACAACGCGCTCCGGGGCGACGACGAGGCGACGCCCGCGCGGCTCGACGTCGCGACGAAGGCGTCGGGCTACGACGGCACGCAGCCGGACAAGCGCCGGGGCAAGGGCAAGTACGAGGACGGCGAGGGCGCCGAGGGCGGCGGCGCGGACGACGACGACGACGACGGCGAGGCCGGCGACCCCGAGGCGGACGAGGACGAGACGGAGGACGAGACGGCGGGCGACTCGGAGGACGAGCCGGACGCCGCGGCGCTCCGCGCGGAGTTCCTCGCCATGGCGCGCCGCGACGCGCCGGCGGCCGACGAGCCGGCGCCGGCGCCGATGCGCGAGACCTTCTTCGACGACGAGCCCGAGGGCGAGGCCGCGGAGCGGCGCCAGGCGGCGGACGTGTGCACGCGCAAGCTCCGCCGCGAGCGGAGCAAGCAGACGGCGAAGCGCGCGAACCACAACGGCGCCGGCGCGTCGCGCAACTTCTCCAAGACGCGCACGGGCCACGGCAAGATCCGCCACAAGGACCACATCTTCGACTCGCTCTAGGTCCTTTTCCTAACTTCGACTTTCGCTTTTTAGATCTGTCGCGCTGCCAAACAACACGGCGCGAAGCCAATGAAGTGCAACTAAGCCGTTGAAGATTCAAGTGCTTTGAAACTCTCCCAGAAGCGCTTCGCTTCGACCTGGGGCAGCCAGTCGGTCTGGCAGCCCGCCGATGGCGCACAACGGCGAGGTGGTCAGCTACCAAGGCACGTCCTCCCTCCACGTCGCCAGGTTCGCGAAGCGCAGCGAGGCCGACGCCGCCTTCGACGCGCTGGGCTTCCACTACGCCTCCGTGCTCTTCAAAAAGGACTCGCACGGCTGGTGGAGCGTCGCGAAGACCTACGGCCTCCAGCGCACGGTCGACAGCCTCATCGCCGCCCGGGGCCGGGAGCGCGACGTCGAGGACGCGTCGACCGACGACCAGGCCGCGGAGCACGTCCGGGGCTCCGTCGTCGCGCGGCGCCGGAAGACGCCGCAGGGCCGCCAGTTCACGATTCTAGAGCTGCGCTTCGTGCGGCGGGGCCGGTCGCTGAGCCGCCAGGTCGTCTTCGCGTCCGTGGACCGCTTCACGAAGGCCCTGCGGGCCTTCGGGCAGACGGAGGGCGACATCGCGGAGTTCCGCGGCGCCGCGGCCAAAGCCGCGGTCTGCTGCGTCGCGCCGGACAGCGACGACGAGGCGCCGTCGCTGTCCGCGACGGCGACGGAGATGCTCGAGACGGCGCTCGCCGCGGACTGCGCCGCCGTCGAGGCCTGGCTCGACGCGTCCCAGGCCGTGGAGAAGGCCGTGCCGCGGCTCGGGTGCGGGTCCAAGGGCGTCGGCACCTACGGCGGCAAGGCCAAGGTCGGCGCGGGGTCCCTCGACGCGGCGACGCTGCGCAAGGCGCTGGAGACGGGCGCGCCGGAGGTGCGCGAGCCACCGCTTCGGACGCACGACTCACCCCCGTTTTTTATAGGTGACGGTGCTCCTCGTCCCCAAGGCCCGCGACGACGACGCGGACGCGCGGAACCGGGGCCGCGCGCTCTTCCGCGTCGTCATCGACTGCCCGGCCCACTCGCTCGCCGTCGAGCTCGAGTCCCAGCGCTTCCAGGCCTTCGTGGACCTCGACGAGGCGCTCCGGGAGCGCCGCGCGCGGCCCCGGGACGGCGCGGACGGCCGCTACGACTCCGTCGAGGCCGCGCTCGCGGAGTCGTTCGCCCCGGCGCCGCCGCCCTTCCCGCGGCGCTACGCGAAGCGGTCCTTCGCGACCTTCGGGAGCCCGCTGACGGGCCACGAGCTCGAGGACCGGCGGAGCGCGCTCGCGCTCTACTTCTCCGAGCTGCTGAAACGCGACGCCGGCGACGGCGGCGAGGACGCGCGGGCGGCGTTGGTCGGCTGGCTGCGGGCCATGGGGCCCCAGGCCGCCGACGACGACGCCGACGACAGGGCCGCGGCGAGCAGCCCGCCGCGCGGCGGCGGCGCCAAGGGCCTGCTCCGCGCGGGCGTCGGCCTCGTCTCCGCGTGGGCGTCTCGGGGCCGCGACGCGGCCGCGGAGCCGTCGGCGGCGAAGCGCGCCGGCGCCGCGGCGAAGAAGGGCCGGAGCCGCAAGGGCGCCGTGCCGCCGCGCATCAAGATGGCCCACGAGATGGACGCGCCCGACGGCGACCTCCGGCTCGGCGCGCGGTCGCGGCGCCGCCTCTTCGGCGTCGTCGACGACGGCGACGGCGACGAGGGCGGCCGCGACGTCGACGTCGAGTTCGAGGCCTTCGACAGCGAGGACGAGGCGGCGGGCGTCGCGGCCGTCGAGGAGGCCCCGCGGTCCGCGAGCCCGCCGCTCCGCATCTTCGGCCGCATCGACGACGGCGACGCGGACGGCGGCGACGACCCCCCTGGCGTCGCCGCGCGCGAGCCGCCCGACGACGACGGCGAGGCCGCGGCGCTCCTCGAGGAGATGCGGGCCGCGCTCGAGCCGCAGAGCGACGAGGTGCTCATGTTCGCGCTCGCGGCCGTGGAGGGATTCGACGGCTGCGTGGCCGCGCGGCGCCGCGCGAGCCCCTTCGTCGTGTCCGCGCGCGTCTTCGACGACCTCAAGGAGGACTCGTGGCCCCAGACGTCGGAGCCGCGGCCCGCGGACGCCATGGCCTGGGCGCCGCCGTGCCAGTTCATCCTGCCGCTCGACGCGGCGGCGCGCGCGGCGCCGGACGGCGACGCCGACCGGCCCGAGACGGCGGAGGACGAGGCCGAGGACCCGCCGCGCCTGTCGAAGCCGCGGGTCGTCTTCGGCCTCCACGACGCGTCGCGCGGCAAGAGCTCCGACCCCGACGCGTCGCTGGAGTGCGTCTGCGTCCTCGACCCCGCGGACTACGCGGACACGTCGGACGTGCGCCTGGATCTCGTCGACGACGAGCACGCGCGGCTCGGGGCCACGCTCGTGGGCCGGTGCCACGTCCTCTCGCGGGCCATCTTCGAGGCGTCGCGCGGCCGCATCCACTTCGACGCCGTCCTAGTGTACGAGAAGAAGAAGGCGACCCAGGGCGACCTGCTGGACGCGCTCTTCTGCAGCGTGGGCGTGGGCTTCGCCTGCGCCGACGCGGGCGGCGACGACGTCTTCTGCGGCGACTTCATGGACGGCGACGGCCCCGGGTCCGTCGAATTCTGCGGCGAGTTCTACGCGGAGGAGGACGACCTCGCGAAGCCCGGCGACGACGTCGTCGAGGAGGCGCTGGAGATCGAGGAGGGCGAGCTCGCGGGCGCGTTCACGCGGAGCGGCGGCGCGGACCCGAACTGGATCCGGCTGGGCGCGTGCGTGCCCGACGACCCGCGGCGGCCGCGCGCGCACGCGCCCAAGCCCGCGACGCTCGACCCGGGCTACTCGAGCTTCCGCCGCTTCGACGTCCTGGGCCAGGTCGTCACCCAGGACTGGCACGTGGCCCTCGACGCGGACGCCGACGCCCACGGCTGGTCCTACGCGGCGTCGCTCAGCGCGACGGCGTGGCGCGCGGACGCGGCGCCGGGCCGCGTCTACCGCCGCCAGATCTGGCACCGCTACTCCGTCCGCCCGAACGCGAAGCAGGACGTCGACGTCGACGGGGAGGCGTAACGCATGGAGCGGCGTCCCCTCGTCGCCGCTGCGCATGGTCGTGTTGCGGTGCAACAACCGCTTTCGGAATTCCTCGTCTTCGGCCGAGTCGGATCCGAGTCGGGGCAGTGCCCGGAAGTTGCGCACCGTGTTGCAGTGCAACAACCGCTTTTCGGCCGAGCTCGAGTCGGGGCAGCTTTCGGTGGCTGCGGCGGGCCTCGGCGGCCGCGGGACGACGCCTCCGGCCGTCGCCCGCCGTGAAGACCATGGTCAAGGCCCACACGGCGGAGATCGTGACCCACGTCGAGACCGTGAAATTCGCGAAGCGCAGCGAGGCCGAGGAGGCGTTCCAGCTCCTGTCCTGGCGCCACGCGTCCGTGCTCTTCAAGAAGGACTCGCACGGCTGGTGGCGCGTCGCGCGGAGCTACGGCCTCGCGGCGCGCGTGCAGCGCATCGTCGACAAGCGCGCCGCGGAGCGCGACGCGGAGGACCGGGACCCGCGGCACCTCGTCGCGTCCGTCGTCGCGCGGCGGCGGCGGAACGCGAAGGCGCGCCAGTTCACGGTCCTCGAGCTTCGCTTCGTGGCCAGGGGCGAGGACGGCGCCCGCGTGCGGCGCACGGTCTTCGCGGGCGTGGACCGCTTCGTCGACGCGCTCGAGGCCTTTGGCATCGACGGCGGCGCGACGGCGGGCTTCAAGCGCGAGGCCGAGCGGGCCGCGCACTGCTGCGTGAACCCCGACTCCGACGACGAGGCGCCGACGCTGAGCGCCGCGGCGACGGACATGCTCGAGGAGGCCGTGTGCCGCTTCCCCTACCAGATCCAGCTCTGGCTCGAGGCCGTCGCGGCCGTCGAGGCGGCGGTCCCCGCGCTCGCGTGCGACGAGAGCGGCGTGTCGACCTACGGCGGCGTCGCGCGCGTGGCGTCGAGCGCGCTGACCGTCGAGTGCCTCTGCGCCGTGCTGCGGGGCGGCGGGCCCGACGCGGCGGTCGCGGGGAACCGGGGCGCGGGCGGCGCGCTCGGCTTCGACGGCGCGCTCGACTGCCCGTCGCTCGCGCTCTCCGTGGACCTCCCGCGCTGCACGCTGGCGCGCCTCGAGGCGCTGGAGGCGGCGCTCGAGGACGCCGCGGCGGGCGCGTGGATCCTGCCCGTGTTCCCGAAGCGGTGGGTGAAGCGCGACTTCGCCCGCTTCGACGACCGGCTCGACCGATTGGAGGCCGCGGACCGGACGGGCATGGTGCGGGCCTACCTGCAGCAGGTGCTCTGCCACGTCTTCCCCTCGCTCGACGCCCCCGGGCAGGCCATCGTCTGCGAGTGGCTCGGCGGCACGCCGGGGGACCCGCGGAGGCCGAAGCGGCCGCGGCTGAGCCTCGTCG